AGAAAAACATGAACACATCTCCCTGTCTACACACGAGGAATTCACTGACATGGAAACACAACTTTAGCAAATACAAACTCAATCATGAAAATAACATTTCAGTGTTTTATTTTTATTTCCACAGCAGTGATGGACTTCTCCCTTCCTCTTTTAAACATGTAAATTACTTCACATTGTCATGTCGTCCTGCTGCTGCTTCCATATTTGGTGTGGAGGTGCTGCCCCCCGGTGGTTATTAGTGGACCTACTTTTAGTCAAACCACACTGAACCATCACCCTGGATGATGGAAATCATCACTGACTTAAGGTGTTTTGTGTTGTTCAAACATTTTTTACTTGTGTGATTATGTATTTCCATATTTAGAGATCAAAAAATCTATCTATCTGTATTTACCAGTTTTTTATTTACCAGACGTCCATGTGTTGTATGATTATAAAGCAGGTCTAGGTTCTATACACAGTCCACAGAGAAATGCACACAGCCTGTATTCAGAAACTGAGCCTTAAAACCAGCTGTCAGGACTTCTGGAACCTTGTGATGTCACAACCCCCCTCAGCCATACCCAAGCCCTGCCCACCTGGACCCACCATCCAACCTTGCAGGATTTGGTTTTTCTGAGTGTTTACCTGAAATCTGCTGTATTTTTATTGGCTCACTCAGAAAACAGTGAGCCAATCAGAAGAGTGGGAGAAGAAGAGCCTCCTCTCTTCTGATTGGCTCACCGACCTGTTGTTTATAGCGCTCCAGAGAGAAGCCTGAGAGAGGAAAAACTACACTTAGATGGTTTTTGGTTCTTTAAACCACAAGTATATCTTCGCATGGATCAACACTTCAAATAAAACACAGAAGAAGAGGAAAATATGGCGCTTTAAATAAATTAATCTACACATTATTAAATCCTGCAGCATTTTATTTACCTGCCATTTGCTGCTTCAGACATGAAAAACAAAGACAGACCGAGACAAACTGGATTTTAACTTTTATTTATTAGTTATTATTTTGATCATGAGAAACATAATCAAGGACAAACATAGGAAAAATATATTTGAACAGAGTCAAACGTCACAGAGCTGCAGAGGCTCTGAAGGAGCAGAGAGAACCAAACACCAGGAGAGAATCATACCAAACAGAAAGAAGAAAAATAAGTGCTTCAGGTTGGGCGGATACATTCGGGCTGAACAGAGCCATGAAACTGTACATACATTAGCATCTACATGGAGGTGAGCAGAGCACCTGAATCAGCTGATGTGGCACCTGCACAGGTGTTCCGGGGGCTCTGAAAATTGGGGGTGGGGGTGAGGGGGTTTGAGGTATTTCAACTACGAAGGGAGGAAAGGATCGGACACAAGACGAACCTCAGAGGATTTTAATGCCCATGCATCGCCCAGACAGGTTGGGCACATGTTGGTAATAATTCTGAATATAATATATATGTTTAATCTACTGTTTATATTAATGTAACCCTTTCCAAAATACACAGGAAATATCTATGTAGGAAAACAGACTGTACAAAAAACAAGAAGAATAGCTCTGTATAAACATTAAAACCTTTAATATATCAATATATCCTTTATATACTGTTTTCTTTTGGTCTGTAGTAAAGAGTACTAAAGTGGTTCCACAGTTTAAGACAACACCACTCACTCAAATATACATTCATGTCTCATTCGGCCACTGGGGGGCGTACTCATTGCTGAGCGACACGACAGAAAGAAAAATAAAAAAAATAAAAATAAAAATAAAGTTCATGCCAAAGCCATAAAGAACCATCTATTGCACTGATTGTTTGGTTTCCATAGAGAATAAAACAAACCGGTGAATATTTCAACTCTCTGTGAATAGTCTGTACCACCATCTGAGCTTATATAAAAACTTTTTTAAAAACATTCACAACAGAAAGACGACTAGTTTTTTTCTCTCATGTAAAAAGACGTTAAAGGAAAAAACAGTCGACTTCACACTGAGTGGCTTCCATTCATTTGTTAAAAAAAAACAAAAAACAGATAGAGGTTTTGGAGAGAAAACAAAACTAAATCAGCTGCTTCTGTATTTCTGTTGATGTAACACTGTTGTAATGCTGCCATGTGGGCGACATGAGGATGTATATGACATAAGCTGTGATGCTGCCCGACACCTGCTCATCACGGTAGAGATCCCTGCACATCACAGCCGTCCTCCTACATTCATCAGGCCACAAACTAATTAAATAGACTCGATAGTGTGACATGAAGCTGTAATGTGCTGATCAGTTTACTGAGGATTACTTCCTACTTATTTTAAAATTATTCTCCTATGCGTGCAAGATTATTCTCCTGTTATCTTGTTTACGCGAGAAAGTATCTGGAGCACACACGTTATTATCTTGTACTTGTATTGTGAAGTTTACACAAGTTACTCTCTTGTAAAAACAATACTGACATTGTCCTGTTTGCACAAATTACTGTCGTGTCCGCACAAGATCTTGTTGATGTGACATGTGTTGCAAGCACAAGTTTACGTGCAATATTATAACTATGGTGGCCCTAAGAGCTCAATGCACTGCAACTTAAGCAGACAAAACACAAACAACTTCAGAAAACATCTTCATCAATGTGCTGCAAATATTCAAAAAAAAAAAAAAAGTACACGCAGCACAACCGAAGTGTTTCCATGGGACACAGAACAGTGACGGACACGGCTCAGGCGCACTTGTTCATTACTTCCAAACTTTTGAAATTGCTAAGACGGCTAGTCGGCTCCCCGTTAGCGGTGTTAGAAAATTGGCTTAAGTTGAGTTTGTTTGGATGATTATTACATCAATATCACATGATTCAGACATTATTGCAAAAATGTGCCGTTAGCTTAGCCGTCACTTTTTAGTGTCTCCTAGAAACACCTCTGTTTTGTTGTTAGTATTGGCAGCTTATATGTTGTCAAACCGATGAAGATTTTTCTGAAGTTTTTTGTGTTTTCTTAAGCTGCAGTGCATTGAGCTCCAAGGCCAGCATACATAACCATGTTTGCATGAAATATTATGCATGCAGAAGGTGTTACCTTGCTCACACAAGATAATAAGAAAGTATCAGCTCATCTAAGTTTTGGGAAATTCAGAATTTAGTCTGAAATGAATCCTGCATTTAATTTGTCTCAAATTAAATTTGATTTCACCAGCTACAATTCACTGTCATACGGTAAAACCAGCCGTGTCTTATGAAAAGCAAATCTGTGAAGAAAAATGTAATTTCCAGACATCGCCAGGACTTTAACATGCACGGTGGCCAGATTCAAAACAGCTCATCTCAAAACACAAAGAGATAAACGTCATATAAACAGGTGGATACAAGAGATGTGGAGGGTGTTCAGTCAATAAGCAAACACCAGAGGATACAGTAAACTAATAGCTCAGTAGATAACTGCATGTTTCAGGTAATTCTTTCAAATGTGGCTACAAGTACTAAACTTGACACAAATCCTCCTCGGGTATTACACTGAGGTAACTGAAGTCATTTAATCATTTGCCTTTGAAATGGGTGTAAATCAGTTGACAATTGACAGGGTTTGTTTGCTTAAGTGTGAGCTTGCTGGCTAACTAGCATAGTGCACTAGCGAGCTAGCATATCAAGCTAGGGCGTTAATGTTACTACTAAACTACAAATGCTGACTTAAGGCTTGAATAAAACGAGTAGACAGTCGACTCCTACTGAACTTTTGGTTCATCATACATAGTAAATGGTTTGTGGAGAATTTTTCCTATCATATATTAGAAATTGTACAAATAAAGCTCTTAAGATAAAGAAATTTAAGATCAACATCCTCGGTCACACACATGGGATTAAATTGCAAAATCATTTAAATCTGTGGGTAAAATACACGTTTCATGTGCCGCAAATGGCGGCCATCTTGGAATATGCTGAAGTGGCTAATTGGATTTGTGAAATAAATGGTGCCAGAGGGATAAACATACCAATTGTGTTGCTTGTATTCACATTTGAAAGATCATTAGTTATGTGCTGCACTATAAAGTGTCAGTTCACTGTGTCTGAATCCACCTGAGCTGCAGGTCAGTTTTGGTGTGTGTGTGTGCCCCTTGGCCATCAGCGGGCCCCAAAAATAAAGTGAAAGTATTGGCGCTCTTTGGGTTCCTCTCTTTACTTTAAATATTTAAAGACACACTCCCTGATGCCGTTTAGGGGATTATAAAAAAAATTAATTTGTCTTTGCTATAAATTTTTCTTGGCATTTTTAGGGCAAAATCAGTGAGTGCATCTTAAAGTTATGATATCATATATTTCCGTGTATTTGTTTATATTTGCACTCTTCGAATATCCATAAAAATACTGCTGAGGGTCCCAGAAAGGCGGAAACCGTCCTGATAGAAAAAATAAAATAAAACAAGGGAACAGATGCTGACTGACCAATAGGAGACGAGCAGGAATTGGTACACATTCATATACAGAGTCGTCAGGAGCAGAACGAAGGCAGGTATATACATGTGAACAGGTGCATTGTTGAGGCATACCTGCCATGGGCGGAGTCTCTGAAGGGTAGGCAGAGAGCCAGGCATCATACATGTAAAGTGCCGTCACTTGGAAAGGACGGTTCAAAGGTCAGACGTCAGGTGGGTTGATGGGTGCAGTCATAGTCTCTGAAGGGGGGGGGGGTGGTCCATGGAGCACACTCCACAGTGGCCACAGAGGACGTGTGGTGTGTGTGTGTAGTGAGTCAGAATGATGGGCCTAATAGGCAGCAGGCAACTGCTGCCACTCAGGAGCAATTCACCATGTCTTTAAGCGGCTGCTGGGTGACTGTTGCCATGGAAACAGATGACAAATGTTCGGAGGGAACTCAGGAATATTATAAAGATGTGGAAGGTTTCTTTGCCAGGAACACACACACACACACTGCAGTTTATTTTGACTCAGGCTCACACACTCACTAGTAGATTAAATTGCCGCTGAAAATAGTCCCCAACAAATGTACTATTTCCTCCTTGTTCGATAAAAATTGCAGCCTCTTTTTTTTTTATATTTAAATGTATTTTTGAGGCGTTTTTAAAGATTCACATTCAGTAGGAACCAATGAGTTCAGAGCCACAAACGGAGTAGGGAAGATGTTGAGAGACGGACTAACACACTGTTGGTTTTCATGTGTTTGATTTGTTGGATTGTGCATTTAAAAATATTTAATTATCTCATTTGTCCATGGTCAAAGTCAGATGATGAAAAGTTGAAATATATTTTGAGTGTTTTTTTTCAACCCTTGACTGTGTTTGTGGAGATGAGGTGAAAGGTCAGGAGAAGGCAGGGTCATCATTCTGAGAGTGTGTGTGTGTGTGTGTGTGTGTGTGTGTGTGTACATGTATATATATATATGTTTTTCTGTGTGTGCCCTCACAGCGGCCCGTGCTGTGCCTCATACTTGGCCAGCATGTTCTTTGTGCGTCCGAGCTCTTTCCTCAGGTCGGCCACCTCCTGCCTCAGTGCCGAGTTCTCCTTCTCCAGGAAGCCGGCTCGGATGGCGATCTGGTTCTCTTTGAGCCTCCTCGCGTCCCGGGAACGTTTGGCTGCCAAGTTGTTCTTCCTGCGCCTGGCCCAGTATTTGTCGTCCTGCTCGAAGGACACAAAGGAGAGAGAAACGAGACGTGAAACAAGGGGATTACATTATAAGAAACACAAACCCAGAATAAAATACCAGAGACAGAGAATCAAAATCATCTGAGACCTTTTTGTACTTTTAGCTTCAGTTAATATTCTCCTAAAAGTATCAATCAAAGATAAGGCAGGATTGCATGGAGAACTGCAAGTGTCATGGATATAGTAATAAAGCATTTGATTAATTAATAACAAATAATAATAATAATACATTTTGTTTATAGGTGCCTTTTAAGGACATCTTACAACACACAGTAAAAGAAAGAAAATAGCAACAGTATAAAAACAAAGCATAAAATACTAAATAAATTAGAATAAATATAATTACATAATAAAAATATATTTACATACAAGTTAATTTATGACTATAAATAATTCAATTACAAAGTAATGCATCATTGGATTTGATTATTAATCGTCAATAAATAGTTCAAATTAAAAAAGGGTTTACAATAATAACATAACAGTCATAATTTAAAAAGACTAATGAATTCAAATAAAATTAATTTTAATAATCTATTTGAAAATTTAAAATGATAAATTAAATAATTGTGTTGACAGATTTTAATCAGGCATTTAAAACGAAATTTCCCATTTACATTATTTCATTAGTTATTAATTAATGAAATCCTTTATTACTATTTCCATGACACTTGTGGTCTTCCACAGATGGGGTTTTTTTATAGTTAAGATCAAAACAACATTATCAATTATAAATTTTAAGTAGATTCATTGCATTAATAAATGCGGCAGTTTACATAGAATTTCATTTTTCTTTTTATTTATTTATTTATTTTTCTAATTTCTGTTTTATTAAACTACCATTTGTTAAACTAGTCGTCATTATGAAACGTATGATAACCAGACTGATGGATATAAATGCAGGAAAAAGTATTCATTTAATTTTTTTTTTTTTTTTTTTATGAATATAGTTGAAATAACGAGTGTTTCTGCTTCCTGGTGGTCAAACATCACACCTGTCCAACGTGTCGTGTCCATGTGTGATCAGAGCCTCAGCTGCTTCACAATCAGCTGTCAGCCGTTCATCACTGGAGCGCCGCCACACGCAGATCCACTTTTTATTTCAACAAATTAAAACCTAAATCCTCTCAGCAGTGCTCCCTCCTTCAGTCCGCTATAAGCCTCTTAACCAGGAGGACTTGCCCACCCCCCTGGAGCTGGACGTAGCCAATAGGAGCGCAGAGGCTCCTCTCGGACAGATGAACAAAAAGTCAGTGAATCCACCTCTCCACCTCTCCACCTGCTCGCTGTGCTGGTTTAAGCCAAGTCAACTGTAGAGGAGAGATGGTCATATTCAAAACCCAACACCAGAGGAGGAGCTCTGTGCTGTGATAGTGTAATACTGTAATACCGTAGTACTGTATATACTACTGTACTACTGTAGTACAGTCCCCTCCCCTGGCAACCAGTTAGTGAGAAATTTGCTGCTGCTTTAAAACATTAAACATAAGATAAAAATTCCTTCTTCATCTCCTTTTTTTCTTTCAAATGATCTGATATGATGATGACTTTACTCTTCTTGACATTTCATACTTCTACACTGGAGTACATACAGCACATGACTGCTTCCTTCGACTTGGACTTTGGACTTTGTGGTGAGATTGTTGTCTCATAATCAGATTATTAGTATTACAAAAAAAACACAGGCCCCTGGCTTCCACAGGTTTGACTGTTTTTTGAGTTTTGACAGTTTTTTTGCTGCAACAGAATTTTTTTTCCCCGAGATACATTTTGTATTTTTGACAATAAGCCGAGATTTATTGGAAAAATACAGACAGGAAATCGGCCTGTGTTGCATTAGAAGCTGATATCAAGCTCTTCGCCAGAACCAGCTCCAAATTACCTTCAGGTCCTCTGGGATGAAGACCTTGCGAGCTTTCTTGATCATCGGCTGCGGTTTCAGCTCCTCAGCCGAGAACTTGCGTTTGCGCGGGTCGAAGATCTCCTGACCTGGGACGCTGGACAGTGCCAGGTCCGCTGGGTCGGGCTCGTACCCGACAGGGACCTGGATGGAGTCTGGGTCGATGGGGCTGGGAGTGTTTCTGGAGTTTGGGAGACCTGGAGGAAAACAGAGACAGTCAGAGGGTAAGTCGAGTCAGAAACTTTTATCTTATTTTATCTTGTTTTCTTCTCCTTCTTTCTTTCCTTCCTTTCTTCCTTCCTTGTTATCAAAGACCATTGTAAAGCCTTTTTTTTTTTTGTGTGTTTCTTGTGTTGTTCACTATGATCTTCCTTTGAGTCCTAATTAGGGAAGCTTTCAGGCAGCTAAAACATCCCAACTAAAAGCAGCATGTTCTGTATCATTCCCTGTATCATTAGCAGAAAAGACTTTTATTAAAAATGATATAATTATGAAGGAACATGCAGTAAATTGTTTTTTAGTAAGTTCGTCACATTCTGAAGGAATTTATCTGTATTCATATTTTAAAGATGTGGTACGATAAAATTGATCCTTAACCTTCAGATATTGATCAGAGAACAAACTCTGAGGCTGCAGTGTCATGGTGCGGCCACCAGGTGGTGACAGACCTGAAGTTAAACCAGCTGTGTGTGTGTGTGTGTGTGTGAGTGATCAGGTTCAAGTGACAAACGGGAACATTTTTACTATTTAACTATGAAGCTGTGACTCTGTTTCCTGTCTGAGGATTCAGCTCTGACCTGCTGAAGGACTCTGTGACCAGAGGATCAGAGATGGAAACATGGGAAGACTAATGAAAGCACAGTTTCCTGCTCTTCTTGTATAAAGCCACTGCATCATTTAAAAAAAAAAAAAGGTTCTTGACAAAAATCTGGATATTTTACATTCAGTTTTCAGATGATCTCTAACTTAAAGGTTCATATAGTATAAAGGTAGATGTCCATGTGTTGTTTGATCATAAAGCAGGTCTAGGTATTAATACTGTGAAAGTCAAAGCGCCTTTATTCAGAAACTGAGCCTTAAAAACCAGCTGTCAGGACTTCTGGAACCTTGTGATGTCACAACGAAGCAGTCACAGCTCTCAGCCATGCAAATGAAAAGTTCAACATTTTGATCAACATGTTTTTTTTTTTTTTTTTTTTGTTTGAGCAGGTCCTGCTTGTCCCACAGTGATTTACAGGGGACAGAGGTTTAAAAGGTGATGTCAGTGAACTACACACCAGCTGCTCTGTGAGGCTTCATTATAAAACCAGTGGGTTCACAATGTGACGGACTTGAACGCAGCACTGGTGTCTGAAACGGAGGAGCAGGTGGGAGCTGAACAGCAGCACACGATGAGCCTCACTGCTTCAAACGTGACATCCTGAGAGACATCCTGACACGTGCGTGTGTGTGTGTGTGTGTGTGTGTGTGTAACATGAGCACATTTACTCTGTGAGCTGCTGGGTCGTAGTTCCTGATGTTTTCAGACTGTCCTCCTGTGAAAAGGTCGTCTGTGCATCTACTGAAGCCGAGAAAGGCCATACTTGCAAATATTTTTTTGTGACACTACAGAGGGAAGTTATTGAATATTAAGTAATATATCTGTTTTCAGTATTGCACTTTGTAGATGGTCCCTGAGCACTCAACTCACAGCCGGCTGCTCATAGAGATTAATTATATTCCCCCAGCTCATTTTGATGAAAACTAGGTTGTGTCTAACTTAACACAGTAGGAAAGAGGGGTTGTTTCTGTTATTACAACGTTTCAGTTATTGGACCAGGAGTTTGAATCTGTGAACATCTTTCCAACTATAATCATCCCGTTATCTCGAAATAACAAATAATCGTTTTCTCTTGATAATATCTCTATCTCTATATCTCAAGCTTTCTTATTTTGAGATAGCAGGATAAAAAAAATATTTGCAAGAGTGGCCTTTCTCAGCTTCTGTGGCGCAGAAGCTTATTATGAGGTAGGTTTTATTGTCAGGTGACCTCCAGCAGCAGGTTGGATGACTTGTTTTTTTCATGCCTCTAAAATCTCCTTTAAAGCAGGGTGTGTGTTACTGTTTCATGGTGATGTTTTTATCAGATCCTCTTTTTTTCTGCGACGGAAGCCCTGAGAGTCAGGTGAAAAAAAATTTGTACATCTCAGAACTTGGACTGTCACAGGACTCTCTTCAGAGAGATTCTAGTGAGTAAAGGAAATAGGGATCAGCTCAAGATCATACTGCACATCAGGAGCTAAAAGAAAGAAAATAAAAACCTGAGTAAGAAAAAAAAAAAAATTTCCAACACCAGCGAGAGGAGATCCTGATTTAAAAAGTCACTTTAGAGGCTTCAAATCTTCATGTTTCAGCAAAGTATAAACAGCAGTTTTTACAGCTCAGAGGTGGTTTTCACTCGGACAGGAAGAGGAAACAGTTCAGGTTCTGCAGACACTCCACCTACGGAGCAGGATGTGGATGTTTGTGCTTTTTGAGTCTCTCTCCCTCTCTCTCTCTCTCTCTATCTCTCCTGGTGAACCCTGGGTAACCCTGGTTGTTCCTGCCTCCTTATCTGCTGGGCCGTCACAGGGCCACATGGGAAAACAAATATGCCAGATTATGCCATAGATTACTCAGCTATATTTAGACATCAGAGCCTCTGCTGGGGGCAAATTAACTGAAGGAAATATTTACATTTACAAGTCAGTGGAAAAATGATTTCACTATCTTCACTTTATCATTATTTAGAGTTATAAATGAGTTTATGATCTGACTATAAAACTTTGTAGGGGCGTCACTGATACTTCAGGAGGTGGTGGAGACCAAAACCAGAGCTTAACAGAGAGAACACTGTGGACCTGGACTCATCAGGTGACACACCGCTCTTCATAAGCGTGTTTTCAGGTTGTTCTGCTCCACATGGACAATAATCAGTTAATTCAGCTTTAAACATCTCATCAGTCTGTGTTTTAGTGTCCTCTGATGGTTCAGGTGCTTTAAAGTCCAGACTGGGATCTGATTCAGTTCTTCATTCAGTGGGTTTCTGCTTTATAAATGAAGAAAGTTAAAGTCTCTTCACAAGTTTCTCAGAGCTCACCTTAAACTCACTCACTCTAACACCTGGATGTACCTGCAGGATTTATGATGTCAGAGCTAGTTTGGAGCCAATCAGGGTCCAGTATGACGAGGAGTAGATGGTAATACAATGTTTTAGTTGGACAATCATGTCTGTCTTTCTGTTTGAAGCAGAGTATTTTTATATGTGTGAAAACATGATCCTCAAGACCTGAACTCTACTCTGAGCCGGGAGGAGTCTCCCAGACTGACTCACACACTGCGTGTGCATGTGTGTGTGTGTGTGTGTGTGTGTGTGTGTGTGTGTGTGTGGATTATTAGTTGATTTGAGTGTAAATACAGATTTGGAAACTTGTGTGTGGATGTGAGGGTTGCCGCCCCCTGACCTACTTCTGCAGGGAACACTATGTTCTTAAAACACTGATCTCATGCAGGGGCACACACACACAAACAGACACACTCACGTACACACACACACACACACACACCAGTGAGTCGAGTCACATGGCCTACTTCTGCAGAGAACACTATGTTCTTAAAAAACTGATCTCATGCAGGGACAGGCGCACACACACACACACACACACACACACACACACACACACACACACACACACACACTGGAGTCCAGTCACATGTCTGTGCATGCTGTGAGAGGACCACTTGTTTTCTTTTCCTTATAAACATGTGGATCACGGAGTGAGTAAAAGAGTCAAAGCGGGAGCTCTTGCCTACACACGCACGTACGCACGGCACGCACGCACGCACGCACGCACGCACGCACGCACGCCTGCTGAGGCCAGGACATCTGTCGAGGTGTTGAATCTGACACTTCTCTCAATCGTGGTGTTTGGGGCAGACATGTTTTCCTCACATTAAGCGAGCATTACTACTCTGAGCTCCCCCTCCCCTCTGTGAGGTCACATCTGAGCATTTAACCAAGCACACCTGAGCTCATCTCACCTTTGCACTGGTTATTCAGCATTTCACCATGAGGTCAAAGATTTGAACCTTGAACTCTGAGTTAAGCAAGTTAAGAGTTTTTTCTCTGTGAGAAAGAACAAACAGAAGCTCTGCAGTGAGGAGGGTGACATCACATGAAGACAATGATGAAGATGTTTAAACTCTAAGGGATCGTAACGACTCACACAGGTAGAGGTGTTATCTGGCAGCAGGATATTTCAAAAGAATCAGCGGGCACGTCGCCCCGGGGCAGGATGCTAAACATTTATTGATTGGGTCACCTGACAGTCAGGGCTTTAGTGCACGATCCCTACACGTTCCTATTACAGCCACCAAGTATGTGATATCTGAGTTTCAGGACGGAAACCAAAACCTATTTCAATACATTACTTTGAGAAATATAAAAGAAGCAAAAGGTGTAAAATGTTAAATAAAAATAAAACAGGTTTATATCAGGAAAAAACTACAAATCTAAGCAGATATTCAACACAAATAGTATTGTATGATTTTTTTGTATGATTAGTGCTGATTATTGATCCCTCACATTGAGGGAAATAAATTGTTCCAACAAATCACGTTAAATTCTGTGTAACCACAGGCAGCAGTAAAAGCTTTACCTGACTAAAATAGTCCATAACTGAGAAAATCTTTGTAGCTGCATGAAGTCTATAAAATCAAGTCAGACTCAGGGTCTTTTTCGAACGGTGGCTCCGACGGCTAATGCGATTATTTTGGCAGATATTTTGGCCAATTTCAGTGTGAACTGTCACTTCTGATTCATTTTTCACTGGGAAAAAAATCGAAAAACGATGATGAAGTGATTTTTGTTGGTCTTGTACCAAACACACATGTTCCTTTACGTCTGGAGGCCAGAGCTTCTCCGTAGCACCACAACACTGATGGCGCTAACAATAAACAACAATGTGACACAGTTACCTTTTATCAAAAAAAAATTGCAGCTCCTGTGATTTGGATGTTTCACTTAGCCATATTGAGGTTTCGATTATATTTTGATTAACTGTGCAGCTCTAAATGAAATGGTGCATTTTATTGCTTATGAACCAACAGGAAGTTATGTGTATCTCTCAAATACACTTTCATTCAGGAGCAAACCTTATAAAGAATGAGTAAACATGATTACAGCTCTGACCTCACAATCAATATCAGCTCAGAATTAGACAGTTTTCAACGCACTGAGGTCAGTACCAAAACTTTTTAGATTTGCAGCCCTAACTATATTCTCTACTTATTTCTTTCTGAAGATTTCTGGCCCAAAGGTTTTCAAATTTAGTGTCAAACCTCTGGAATCCATTTTAAATTGTAGAATATAAACTGCCCCACGGACATTACCTCAGTGGTTCCAATTGTTTCATCTCAAACTCATTAAACAGATTCATCTCGTCAAATCAAAGTGTCGGTCATGTGAGTTACTTCCATCCTCAGCTGAGTGATTTTTCTAAACAAAGACCAAACCCCCCCAACGGCCTTGAATGCCTCCTGACTGACTGTTTTCTGCTCATCCAGCACTGCTAATCACTCCAGAGGACAAAGGAGCTGAGAGGCTGTCCTCCTACTGCAGCTGCAACTCTTCACACAGGAGATGAATGGCTTTCATTTTGCTTTCAGCACGAGACGACGATGGGCAGCAAAGAGGAACCTGGAGATTTGGTCGCTTCTTCTTCTGCTGAGTGTTAAATGTTCTCATAGAAGAGCATGTGATCATTTAAAGACCAAACTAACAGGTTTGGTAGTTTTATCTCCTTCAAATCATGTTAAATATATATATATATATATATATATATATATATATGTCTCTTTTCTCTCTACTGTGAACTATCTAAAAAATAACAATGCTAATTTTAAAACAGGATTGTCTTAATCATAGCAGAAACCAAACGGCTGGGAACTCTCTTCAGCTGAACAAAAACCAAGAACGCACGCTCACGCACGAAGAAAAGCTCTATTTACTACCAAAAGTCCAAAATCCGATGATATTAAATATATCTCACATAGACAAGGAAAAGTAAGATATTCACATTTTTATTTCATTATCAATTATCACAATTAGTTTCAGATGTGGATTCTGTTCATTTAAAACCCAACATTTAACAGTAAATTTTACATGAGTGTAAACTGCTCTTCTCTTCATTAAAGAGACAGAAATATGAATGTGACCTTGGTGTCCACAGACCTGGTCAAGCGGAACATCATCCATCAGGGTTGTAGCCAGGATTTTATAACCTGAAAGTCTTTTTAGTCCAGGAGTCAAGAAATCCCTTGCTTATCATGTTTAGAAATCAGCTGGAGGATTACATGACCCTCTGTAGCAGTGGTTTCAGCCTTTCTGGCTTGTGAGCCATAAAATGAAATGTAATGTGACTTAAGGTTTTGGAAATGAGCTGTGATCAGTTTGACTTGAGGATTTTTCTTTCCTGTAGTCTAACTTTAAGGATTTCAGACACAGGAAGGAGTGAAAGTGTCCAAAAAAAATAAAATAAACATTATTTTCTCGTAAAATTTTCATGTGATACGTTCATCAGACTAGTCTTTTTTCCTACAGGTACAAGATTTCAGTTGAAGAAATAAACCGTCTGTCAGCTTCCAAATAATCTCCAGAACAAGAAAGAATATTCATGATGTCAATCACATACTCACTTGTTTTCTTTGTTTTCCTCTGAAATCTGAGGTTTCGCGCACAACTTGGAATCCAAAAGGAAAATATAAACATCCAGTTAGGAATCCCTGATGATTGGTAATGAGGTGTTCCAACATGTAATCAGAAATCTATCTGCAAAAGACTTTCAGGTGTCTGAAAACACTCCTAATCAATAATACTACATGTTTGTGAACCATATTGATTCCTTTGTGAGAGATCCATCTGTCCGTGAAAAAGGTCAGAGGTTCAGCTGGAGCTGATAGAGGTCCAGAGTTTTGTCAAGGGACACCAACGTCACTGCTCATGGAACCACACGAAAAAGGTTCATCTTGTTATTGCAGTTTCTTTAAGTTAAAACAGGTACTAAATGAGGCTGATGGTCACATGTTTGCTTGTTTGTCTGAGACATTGTTGACATGTTGAAAGATTGGTCTACGCAGCCTAGGCTGGTAAAAAAACATCAAGATTAGCTTGTCAGCAGTTTTCATCCTGTGAGTTAAAGTGATATTGGGAAACAATCCTTTATAACTACATGTTGAGTTTTCTCTTTAAATGGTTTCCACTATCTACCCCTTTATACCCATAATGCCTCCTGTTTGTTTTGTCTTAGAAGAACGACCATGCGTTTCCTTTTAAAGGTGCTATATGTGATTTTGCTTTTGCTACATAGCATACGTTAGCATTAACAGCTGTTTACTTACCAGTCTAGAAGAAATGTTGCAAGTTCAGCATTAAACTTTATACCTTTCCTCATTAACAGCTGTCTCCAAAGGTGGAAAGCAATGACAATGTTTAACTCTTGTTTTGCTCCTATTTCTATCTCTTTTCTTTCTGTTAGCATGCTAACCAGCTAACACTGGCCTGTTTGGTAACTTTCTGATAGCGAGTCACTATAGCCCCCCAGTCTGCCCTGAAGATGTAGCTGCTTCGTAGGACGTATTATAACCTCTTGTTTTGTTAATGCAATGATGACTGGAGCTCTTGGCAAGCGACAATCGCCACCACCTGCTTCTGGCAAAAAAAACGTTTGGCAGCAAAGAAAACTTACAAATAGCTCAATCAGTCTCACCTGAAACATTGAAAATATTTTTGTACACTTTTGTTGTTCAAGGTACAAAACTCCCTGAGGTAGTTCTTAAATCCCTTCAGGTCACAGAGTCATCTCAGGTCAAAGAGCTGAAATGTACAAGCAAAGGTTTGAGATGAGTATTTACTCATTGAAGACAGCCTGTGTACCCTTGAGTCCTGCAAGACCTATTGAGTAAATGTTTATGGGCTTCTATGAGATATTACCCATCTATTGGCACATTTAATTGTGTATTGATAACGCTGATAAATTCTCCCAGTAGTTTGTAGTTGTGTTTTTGGGTTGTACTGACTCAGCTCTCCCTGCGTCTCCTGTCAGCTTTCACCAAGGAGCAGGAGAAGGAGAAGAACCTGGAGGAGGAGCACAACACCCCCCAGTCAGCCTTCCTGGGCCCCACGCTTTGGGACAAGACCTTGCCCTACGATGGGGAACACTTCCAGCTGGAGTACATGGACCTGGAAGAGTTCCTGTTGAGAACGGCATCCCCTCCAGCCCCTCGCAGCCACCACCCACACCACCACCACCACCATGACCAGCACCAACCACGCGTTCCGGCGCGCCAGCCGCCGATCATGCCCCCAGCCCCGTCCACGCCGGCGCCATCAGTGATGGACCTAAGCAACCAACGCCTCCACCTCCGTAAACACTAGTGTCGTCTCCCCAAACTGCTTGCACAGCAGCCCGGCAAGAGCAGGTAAACAAAAACATTTCTAACCCTCGCTCTGTCAGTTCTACTGGATTCTAATGTTTTACCACATTTACTATGAATTCCAGATACCCTACAGGACAAGTAGCCCTGTTGTAAACCATGCTGCTGTGTTTGTTGTGGGCAACTATGTTTTACACTAATTTATTATACATCATAAAAACTTGTTGGTTCATCATGGGGGCAAAAAATGATGATCTCAGTCTTGGTTTTTGT